ATATATATAAAGATGATAATTTAATCTAATATATATTATATATAATTTTATCTTTAAATTTTTACATGATAAAAATAATATTGAAAATGACTACTCTTATAAAAACAAAATTCAAACTCAAAATTTTGAAGTTTAAACATCAAATACATCATCCATTCATTTAATAAATATTAATAATTTTTAAATATTTTTATTAAATAAAATATAAAAAAAAAAAAATATCTTAATTTCATTAATATATATAACAAACATTACACATATTAAAATATTAGCGTCTCACTCTCGCAGTGACTTTGTTTAAGGTTTTTATAGATAATTTCAAAAATTATTATTTTTAATATAATTTTATTAAAATAATCTTATTTTTATTTTGTCAATGTATAAAAGAATAAATTAAATATAATTGATATTATTTAAAATATTTCATATTAAATCTGTAATTAATTTGTAAGAAATAAAATATTAAGGACAAAAGGAATTATCATATATGAAATATATATAGTAATCTTGGTTGCAAGTTGTGGCAAGTGGCAACATTGCGAAAGAAAAAAGCAAGTTGTGGCATCAATGACGTCAACCAAAGATCAAATGACTATATATTTGTCTTAAGCGAAGTATTGTGTTAATTTTAAATAATAAGAATTTTGATTATTTGCACTTTAACTTTTTTATTTTATCACCTTGTGCAAGTAACTAGCCCACGTGTCATGTATTCAACAGTAAAATTTGATATTTTAATAAATTTATTATAAAATAATTATTTAATAAATTAATATTTTAATTATTCGAAATGATTTCGGATATTGATTATTCTGTGTAGCAGGATCAGAGCCTGGCTGGTGGTTGATTGTGCGTATATTCAATAGTATTCACTATTCAGCAGCCCGTCCACAGATAAGCAGTGTGCTGACACTTTTGAAGTGATAAGATAAGATAAGATGCCATGCATATACATTCACCATCATCCTAAGTCGCTTCGTTCGTTTCAACTTATATTTTTTATTTTAAACCACTCCTTCAATATTTTCTTTTTATACTTAGTTTAAATTTATTATTTATAAATCGAAATTATTATTTAATAAATTTTACTCATAATTTTAAGCTTTCTATATATTTAAATTATTAAAAAGCGTTAAATCTTGGAGTTCGAATCCTGTCTTGTGTATGCAGCCGCGTTAAATCTTGGGGCCAGTTATCCCACCCTTTGAGGTGCTTCCAACGTAGCGAGGAGATTAGTCACTGCTGTTGGCGGTGGATACTCCAGGGACGAATAAAAAAAAAAATTTATTAAAAAGCGTGTTGCTTCAACAGTTGAAGTTATTCACTAAATCAATCGTATATATTTTGATAGTTTTAATGTGAAACATTACAGAATAATTTTTTATTTGGTTCAGGATCATTTATATTTTCTACCAAAGGTAATTCTATTTAAATTATAAGATCATTATATAAAAGATAAATTAACTTTATTGAGTACATATTTAATACAATTACATTCATAAGAACTGATTAATTTTAGATATAAAATCACGATTAAAAATATATTTTATTTTTATAAAGATTCATTTATAAAAAAGATTTATACTATTTTATAAAAAAAATTGAGATAAGTTATATCTCATTCAAGTTGATCTATGTATTCATTTGGACGATTGGTTATATATATATATATTATTTAATGCTTTGTTAAACAAAATCAATATCATATATAAAATATTTAAAAAATATAAATAAATATCAACCGTAAGACTACCAAATTATAAACATTTAATTTATTTAAAACTTAATGTTTATAATCATTAATGTGATATTTAAATATTTAACAAATAGATTATTGAAATTGAATTATAAAAACAGTTGTTGAAAATTTTGGATTTTCCATGGATATTTTATTTTTTTGTGTTATAAATAATTTGAGTAAAAATATTGCAAAATTGTCCTGTCTTATTCATTTGGTTAAAATATATTATGATATAAGTGTAATTATATTTATTAATTTGGATAAAAAAATATTAAAAGAAAAGGTATCTGATTATGGGTATTAATTAGTGTGAACTAGAGTAGAGTACCCTGGTAAAGTTCTATTGACTGTCGGCTTCTTCCGATGGCAACTATCATTCCAGCTGCGTTACGGGTGCAACCGGTTTTAGACCAGCCGTTCAACGAATCAATTCAAATGACTTTTACAATAGTTATTATTAAAATCAATGAATTTATCATCCTATATATTATTGAATGTTAATATATTAATATATTTTTATTAAATATGTAATAAGAATACAAAAATGGTGAGATTTGATTATATATAAAAAAAAAAAAAAAAAAAAGGGTGGGTTTGAATAAAGGAAATAGAATTAACAATTACAAGGGAGTCCAGCAGGTAGAAGTCTTAGGGTTCCAAATAGGAGGGAGCAAGAACTTGATACCGTCGTCCCCAACAGCGTTATAGGATCCACCATTTTGGGAATCGACGAGTAGTTTCCCAGAGGAGAAAATGTCAGGGCAGGTGCTGGTGGCTTCCAACAAGTGGTCTCCATGTCCAGTGGCGTAGAAGGCATCGCCGAATGGGTTAGTGACCGCTCCGGCCAAACCACCAGCCAACAACTTGACCATGGAATCGGCTCCGACGTTCCCGCTTGGTGGCAGCAGCGTCTTTCCCACCTTCCCATGGCTGGCCAAGAAGGGCCATGCACATTCAGGGCACTCCTCCTCCGGGTCCCCCACCGCTACGTAATACTGAGCATCGATAAGACCATGCTGAGCGCATGATCCGGCGCACATGTCCTGCACGGTTACTCCCTTGGAGGCAATGATGACCGCCAAGGTGTGTGGATTGCCGCCGGTTGCCTTGGGGAGGAGGGGCTTGATGAAGTCCTTGATCAGGACTTTTCCGTACGAGTAATTTTCATCCGACACTTGGTTCACCACTTTCACCGCTAGCTTCGTTGCTCCCTTTTGATAGCTAGCCACAATGTTCCACCATGATGAGACGTGCGGTTCTTTCCCCCCCGCCGAATCTGGGCCGTTCAGAGACCTGAAGAAGGACAAAATGGCTTTCCTTTGGGCCCTTGGAATTGGGCCGTACCATAAGATGCCCACGTTCAGGTTCCCCGTCAGGAGCCTTCCCCCGTGGTTGGTTAAGGCTGTTACACTATCCGAATGGGCAACCGGAAGGAGTAGCAGCAAGGACAAGGAGACTAGACTTCTTCCACAACAACTCATCTTCTCTTTCTTTCTTTCTTCTTCTTATTACTATTCCCTCTTCCCTCTTCCCATGCCTCCTATTTATAAGTCCCCCGCATTTCTTTTCCTTTTCTATCAATAGTCGCTTCAAAATAGAGGGAAGAGAGTGAAGACAGGGCCCAACAATCGAAACACAACATGCGCTAAACGTTTTTCCCCTCACACACCTTACTATTATTATTCCTTCACTACTCTATTTTTCATATCTTCATTTCTACCACATTCTCTAATCGCTTTTTTATTATATCAAAATAATTACATTTTCTTACAACATTTTATCTTATATTCCCAATGATATCCGTTAACAAAGTATAAACACTACACATATTTATAAATATTAAAATATTAATTTTATAAATAATTGTAAATATTTATGAATATTTGTGATCTTTTAAAAAATTAAAATAATGTTAATTAAAATTAATTATATTGAAATATTAATAATAAATAATTAACTTTAATTTTTAATTTTTGAATTTGTAGTTAATATCAATTTTGTTGAAATATTAAAAATA